CGAACGAGGGAAGCATAGCGGTTGCCGGGCTGCTCAAGCCTCCATCGATTGCGTGCACAGAAGCGGCGTGCGCAGGAGAGCCGTTGTCGCTGGCTAATGTCGGCGTCTTCTTCGGCAGCACCATGGCCTTCACGATCGCAGCAAGAATAGCCGCGATCTCTGCGAGTGGGTTGCCCTGCTCCTCTAATTTTTGCCCTTGCGCGTCGAGTTTCTGATTGATTAGGGTTTGCTTGGCATCCAGTTCTGTCAAGTGATCGTTTTGAGATCTCGTCATTCCGGCGGGATGGGATCTAGCAGGTCGGACCAATTGTTGTGAACTGAAAAATAAAAAACAACAGGCTAAATCGTTGCCAAGATAATCAACGATAAAATACCGTTACCCAGAGCCAAAAGGCTAAACTCCAATTTTATTCCAAGATAAGCAAGAATGAACCTTGGCAAGGGGTATAAATAGCCTCCTAAGAGAAACCCTAATCAAGCCCAAATTAATTAAATCCTAATTAAGCCCATACTAACTCTACTAAGTACTCTTCTAAAAATAGGCCCAAACTAAAAAAACATAACATACTTTATAATAATAAATAAAACTATAATGACAGCCCATAACCGACCCACGGAAGTGGCCCAAGCCCGTTCCCGCCTCACGCTCTTCCTGCTTTGTATCACATTTCAAAGTTTTAGTGCTGTTTCAAAGTTTTTAGTGCTAGAATAGAAACGTTGACCATTATCAAATACGCATCATGCCTTATAAATCTATATATAATATGGTTTTATTTCTTAGTCTATATTAAAACAAACTGTTCAAAAGTATTTCCACTGTCATACAATAATATATCTTTGGAATAATTAATGACCAGAGTTCACATAAATTGACTTCAGAGTTCAGAAGTCAAATCGGACCTTGGATTTGGGATGGAGTGTTTTCTATGGTAGATGCATGAATGAGGTAAAAACTGAACAACACCGTTTTTTGGGGAATTCCAATTTGTCAAAAATGAGTGTTAGCTTGCAAGGAACAAACTAGGACCTTGCACCTAATCAGGAGGAACCTATCGGAATTAAGAGAGATCTAATTGTTAGTAAGTGGAGCATAAGCAGGGAAAGCCCACGATGCCCCGGATCCTTTGCTGTACCATAGAGTGCCTTGCGGCTTGCGGCAGCGGACGGTCAGATAGCAACGAGGTCGGCCACTAGATCGGCGAAAGAGTGGATCCCAAGATCTTGTGAGAAATAATACCAGGTTTAACCTAAATGTTAGCTTTGGCAGATATATATATATATATATATATATATATATATATATATATAGAGAGAGAGAGAGAGAGAGAGAGAGAGAGAGAGTGCTCTTCTCATCAGGCCGGCCTGACGGGATGCTCCGTCCGGCCGAGCCCATTTGGGCACCTTCCCGGTGGAATTTTTTTATTGAAATTTTTTGAGCATGTTCCCCATCAAGTCTAGTTTGTCCATACCAAATTTCAGCTCAAAATTCGATCTGGAAGACATTCAAATCATTTTTTGAAGTTCACTGCGTCACAATATACTTATAAAACTGCAGTCAACTTCAAAAAATGATTTGAATGCCTTCCTAATCGAATTTTGAGCTGAAATTTGGTATGGACAAACTAGACTCGATTAGGAACATGCTCAAAAAATTTCATCAAAAAATTCCACCGGGAAGGTGCCCAAACGGGCTCGGCCGAACGGAGCAACCCGTCAGGCCGGCCTGACATGAACATTCCTATATATATATATATATATATATATATATATATATATATATATATATATATATATATATATATATATTATATATATTATATATATATATATATATATATATAGGAAACAAGAGTAATAATTACCATATGAGTCCCACATTAATAATAATTAAATAAATAACTAATCTACTCTATTACACCCCCCCAAGCTGTGCATGAGAAACAATGCGCAGATTGTCACGAAGAAGAGTAAACTGTTGTGGGGACAAACACTTTGTAAAAATATCTGCCAATTGAGCCTATGTAGGAACATACTTAACACAAAGATCTCCATGTGCTACCCGCTCACGAACAAAATGATAGTCAATATTAATATGCTTACTCCTGGCATGATGAATAGGATTAACCGAGACATATGAAGCTGAAACATTATCACAAAACAACGTAGTAAGCACTCGAAAACTCTCATCATAGAAAAATCTGGTTTGGAGTAAAATAATTTTTCGTATGGAGAGAGACCATGTAGAGTTGGAGAGGGTAATATATTTATAATAAAAGTGGCAATAAGCACAACATCAACCCAAAACGTAGCTGGTAAATTAGCAGTAATAAGCATAGTGCGTGCTAGTTCAAGTAGATGCTGGTGCTTACGCTCAGCGACACCATTTTGTTGTGGGGTTTCAGGACAAGATTTTTGAAAAACAATGCCATGATTAGTAAAAAAACTATCATATTTAAGTTATCAAATTCACCCCGTCCATCACTCTGAAAAATCTTAATTTTGTGGTCAAGAAGATTTTCAATCATTAATTTAAAATGATGAAAATGAGTGGTAACCTCAGACTTGCGCCGCATGGGATAAACCCAAGTAAAACGAGAAAAATCATGCACAAAACAAACATAATATTTAAAACCCAGATGAGAGAGAACAGGAGATTGGCAGACATCAGAATGAATTAAATATAAGGCATAGGGACTATTATGAAAAACTTTATTAAAAGGTAACCGTTGAGATTTGCATAAATGACAAGGAATACAATCAGAAACTGAACTAGCAGTGCCAGAAATAGAATTATTAATTCGAAGTTGATCTAAAACACGAGTACCACATTGTCCTAATCCATTATGCCATAAAGAAACGGAAGCAGCGGATAAAGCAATGGGTGAAGGCGCAGGCTGACGAACAGGGTAGACACCGTTATCACTGTGAGCCCGAAGCAGAACCGCCCCCGTTGTTAGATCTTTGACAGAAAACGATTTTTTGTCAAAAATCACAGCACAGTTGTTATCAGCACACAATTTTTGAATAGACAAAAGATTATACTTAATGTTAGGCACATGAAAAACAGATTTTAAGTGAAGAGGGCGAGCAGAGGAAGATAAAGTAGTCTGACCAGTATGCATAACAGGAAGAGATGTACCATTTGCAACTATGATAGAATGAGAATTAGGTGAAAAGGATTTATTTGATAAAATACTTGAATGCGGAGTCATGTGTGCTGAGGCACCTGAGTCAGGATATCAAATGATGTCAAAATGCTCAGGAGCGTGAGCAGCAAGAGCAAGTGCAGCCGGCTGAACAAAGCGAGACGGACAGGTAGAAGCAGGGTTACCTGGAGCATAACAAATCTGACAGACAACAGAGGGAGAGACTAAATATCCTTCAACTGAAGAGGAGCCTGCATAACCACGATTAGCACAAGAAGCAGATAAATCATAAGTATAAAAATTTGACTGAACAGACATACCTGCTGAGCCTGGAGCCCCAAGAATGCGAGCATGTGGTGCACCCCTAGAAAATAGCCGGGGGGAGGATAGCCATAGCCGAAGCCATAACCCGCCGGATGTGGGCCATAGCCACGGCCCCTCTACCCCGACCGCCTCGGCCACCTCGGCCGCGCTGCTTGCGGCCTCCTCTACCGCGCTGCCTTCTGCCGCCATGTGGCTGCTGCTGCTGCCTGCCATAGTGCTGCCGCTGCCCTCCAGAAGGAGTGGTCCTGCGGCCTGAACTTGGCCAGCAAAGGCCTAAGCTTGAGTGGAGTCTTCCAAAGCACGCATATATTGAAGGGTCAGCTCCTTCTCGATGAGGTGAGTGCGCAATTTCTCAAACGTGAAACGCTCAGGAAACAAGTCAACCGAAGTAATAAGAGACTCATAGTCTCTTCCCAAACCAAGCAAAATAGTCTGAAAGAGTTCCTTGGTAGAGACCGGAGAATTGATACAGGCTAACTTATCAACACTATCTTTAATATCCTAGAGATAGTGATCCATGGACTGAGTGGGACTCTTCCGAGAATGGGTCAACTGCCGTTTCAGTTCCATGCACCGAGCAATACTAGCAGACATAAAATGTGACTCCAAACGACCCCAAATAGCAAAAGCATTCTTTAATTCACGAACCTCAATTAACACATCACGTGACAAAGTAGCAAATAACCAAGAGCATATAGTTTGATCAAGTTTCAACCAATTACAATAATCCGGATTAATGACCTCACGCTTATATGCATAAAAAATATAGGGGGGAGCAGGAATTGAGCCATCTAAAATACCCATAAAACCATTTGAGACTAGAAAAGACTCAAATAGAGTTGTAACTATATCTGTAATATTAAGAGCAGAAAGTCCAATGGTTTTAACTAAATCAGACAATGAAGAACCTGGGCCGGGTAAGGTGTTCGAACGTGGAGCAAAAGGTCCTGGATTGAGGAGTGGCACAACCCCCGGGTCACCTGTGAATGTCGGACCAGAAAAAACAGAGGAGGATTCTGCCACTGGTGGGATGCTGCGACTGCCTGAGAATAGAACAGAGGACGACGGACGTACAGTAGGTGGAGTGGGGGTCCAAGTAAATATCGGCGGTGTCCAGACAACATCTTGAGAAGAGAAAGGCGAAGTCTCCATCTGCGGATGTGCGACCGAGGAGAGCATCAGGAGGGAAGAATGGAGCTGCGCAGCGGAGAGACCAAGACCTGCGGTGGTTGCCGGTGCTGTGGAGGTAATCGACGCCTGCACCTAATGAGTGTCGATAGGAGAAGACAGCTGCATAGAGGACTCAGGGGTGGCAAAGCTTTGCTCAGTAGACATATCGGTCGAAAAAAAATAGGGATTTTAGATGGTTTTGGCTCTTGATACCATGTGAGAAATAATACCAGGCTTAACCTAAATGTTAGCCTGGGCAGATATATATATATATATATATATATATATATATATATATATATATATATATATATATATATATAGGAAACAAGAGTAATAATTACAATATGAGTACCGCATTAATAATAATTAAATAAATAAGTAATCTACTCTATTAGATCTCCCATTGTTGAATTTTCGATCGGACAATTGTGAAGAGCAAGGCATCATACTTTGCTCTAAAGCAAGGCAGAGGCTCCGGATCCATCATCTGGGTGGGGATTAATTGAGGATACGCAAAGATTTTCTCCAAAATATTATTCCCCACATTGACTCTCCCATGTTCTGTCTATGCTATATGCCCAGACCTCAGCAAGATCCCTTCAAGTTGCTAAATTTACTATCCATCTTCTGTCCTACTGGAACCAGGCAACTTGAAAACCCCATTTACCTTAGCAGTTTCCAGCAACCTCTCAGCATTATCCCAGTGTCCAACAGAAGCATAAATATTAGCAACAAGAGAACGGTGACTGCCGTTATCCCCATTTTGCATATCCAAACAGTGCCTTGCTGCCACCTTGCCAATCTCTAAATTGTTATGCAATCTGCAACCATGAAGCAGAGCTCCCCACACACCAACATGGGCCTCCATTTCCATTCCCTTTATCAAACCATAAGCTTCTTCTAGCCGCCCGGCCCTGCCTAATAGACTGACCACAATACCATAATGGTCCACAGTTGGAGATAGCCCATATTTCTTCTCCATACTTGTAAAAAACTGGATCCCTTCTTCTACGAAAGCAGTATGGGAATAAGCAGTCAAGATGGCAGTGACTGTTGCCAAGTTAGGTTTAATTCCAGCGTTAATCATTTCATTAAACAAGTTAACAGCTTCATTAGTGTTACCATTAACTCCGAATCCCATGATCATTGCAGTGTAAGCTGTTACATCTTTGTTTTGTAATCCGAGAAATAAATCATAAGCTTTTTCTGTAATCCCGCACTTTGCATGCATATCCAGAAAAGCAGTTGCTAAATGATCATCCATCTGGATTCCTTCTTTCTTCATGTATGATTCAATCCAAGAACCTGATTTCAGATCTCCCAGTTGAGAACAAGCAGAAATGGCAGACGTTAATGTCATATGATCTGGTTGGAGTTTTGATTCAAGCATTTCATGGAACAGCTTGAGAGCTTCTTTTGGTTGACTGTTCTGAACATATGTAGATATCATTGCATTATAAACTGTATGTTCTTTTCCATCAGTCATGTCCAAAAATAGCTTCTTAGCAGAATCTACATCTCCGGATTTTGAGTACCCAGAAATCATGGCAGTGAATGTAATTTGATTTTTCCTTTTGTCCATAGAATCAAACAAGCGACGGGCAACATCTATCTTCCCACACTGTACGTATCCACTTATCATTGCATTCCATGAAGCAGAACTTCTTTCCGGCATTTCCACAAACAGTTCATAAGCTTTCTCCATAAACCCTTCCCTTGCATATCCAGAAACCATAGAATTCCAAGAGATAACATCCTTGTCTGGCATTTGATCAAAGACACTTTGCGCCGTTTCTAAGTTTCCAGATTTTACATACCCGGACAGAATCGAGTTCCAAGACACTACATTTTTCACAGGCATATCATCGAATACGTTCCGTGCACAATCCATTTTGTCCATTTTTACATAAAAAACAATGAGAGATGTTTGAACGTAAACATCCCTAGAAAACCCATACTTGTAAGTCTGGGCATGAAATGAAGTCCCAGTTAGCACATCCATTACTCTTGAACATGATTTCATAGCAGATGATATGGCGAAGGTGCTCGGGCTGAGTCCATACCTCTGAAACTGTACATAGAGAGATATAGCCTCTCTGAACTGAGAATTTTCCGTGAGAACCCGAATCGTGGATCCAACTAAAAAGGTGTCAAGTTTATGCATAGACCAAAGCATTGACTTGACATAGTGAAAGGTACTCCGGTGGTGAGTTTTTGCAGAAAGAAGAAGCCGGTGAAACAGGGGATGCTCAAGATCGTGGAGTCCGTTGATTAGTATTACGGCATGGATTTGCTTTGCTTGGTTGATGAATAGATGCTTATCCAACAAAGCACTGACTTTTGCTTTCAGCATAAGCGAGATTATTATGGTACCTCAAAGTGGTAGAGGAGTTTTCTGTTGTTGTACCTGCTCTTGACGATCGGTCTGGCGGAGCTCCGCCGGGCTCATTGAAGTCCGGTGTTTCCTCCTGACCCAGTTTGTATACCGTGGTATCACCGTGCTCCCACGCTCAAAACGACGTAGTTTTGCACAATTTTTTTAAAAAAATCGCGTGAACAGTAACGCATGTACAATAACTGTTTTTTGTCTCAGTGGTATAAGTGATGTAACTCGCGTGTAAAAATATGTAACTCACATTATTGATCAATGTAACTCAAGTGTATTCGAAATGTAACTTGTCCAATACTTAGTACAAAAAATAAATTATTGTGAACAATGAAAAAAAGAGTCTAAATGTACAATTTCTTCAAGTTTATCGTGAATATGTTTTGTTTTTAATATCATGGTCATACAAAAATGATTTTAAAAAACATTTTTTTATTTCAAAAGTAGGGGTTGATTTTTTTTAATGTAATGCATGTTATTGCAAATGTAACTCGCATTGATGCAAATGTAACTTAAGTATATACAAAATGTAACTCATTGATGTAATTTCAAATGTAACTCGCACATAGAAAATTTAACGCATGTACATGATGATGTAATTCACGCATAAAAAGATGTAACTCCGTGTATTATCAAATGTAATTGAGGGTATAAGATTAAACACAATATATTATAACCTTATTTATATGTATTTAAATTATTAACCTTAAATTAAATGTATTAGAATATATGTACGCACTTGATAAGAACAATGATTGAATGTATTTTGTGCTTTCTTATCTCTTTGTGGCTTTCTTCAAGCAACAAATTAAACGAATACTTTCAATTAGAAAAGAAAACATCAGCGTCAGTGGCCGTTTCGGCGTGGCGGCAGGAGAGAGGGCATTAAGCAGCTCCAGGAAGTCCTCGTTCATAAAGCAGCTTCCAACCATGGCAGATGACAATCACAAATCTGAAATTCGATCCTCACTGCAGATCTGACATCTCACAATCCAGAGCCAGCGATGGGAAACTGGGAACGGATCGGAAGGAGCTCACCTCGCAGAGAAATAAGAATGATGCTTGGCTCTCTTTTTTAATCAGTTACTACTACTTAGTAATCAGTCCTTTTCTTTTCAGTGTGTCATACGACTCAAAAGTAGTCATACCCCGCATTTGACATTTTAAGTTGACTGTTCAGTGTTGACCTATAATTCATGAAAATGTTAAAAAATGCTCCTTCTATAGGTCGATCAAATTGTTTGCACATAATAATTTGGCCGGCGTTTTAGGAAGAAAACCAATTACACATAAACAAAAAAAAATTATTTGTATCACAAATATTTTAAATTATTCGAACAAACAATTTCAGGGGTGGAGCCAGGATTTGACGATAGGGGGCGGGTCAAGAATGAACGCAAGCAATAAAATATACTACGTATATTTCGAGCTCGAAACAAAACCTTATAGATTTATTTTTTCACTAATTAAAGATGACTTAAGTAATAAATTTAAAATTATATATATGATATTTCTATCAACCATATATAATAATAATATGTATCACTTTAATTTAATAGTACATATAATATACTAGTATATTATTATAAAGTTTATATTGCATGTATATTAACATATAGCTATCCATACACAACTAAATTATCAAGCAAGTACTAAAATATTACAAATGAAAAGGAAAACTTGAAAACCATTCACGAGTAAAATACATAAATAAATTACTGGAAGATAAACCATTCCTATGTCCTTTTAAAAGGACATAGGAATAAACTAACTACTCGAAAAAGATTAAAAAGGACATATGAAATACTTAGATAATACTATTAATACTATTAAAAAAAATAAAATACTTGGGAGGGGCCAAGGCCCCCATAACCTTGTTGATAGCTCCGTCCCTGAACAATTTGATCGACGTGTATAAAAGAAGTGTTTCATTGTCTGCACGCAGATAATTTGAATTGTCTGTCATACAAATAGATATTTGTCTGTGTAAAAATCGATTTTCTTCATAAAATGTCGTTCAGGGGGTGTTTGGAACTGATTCTGCTTCTGCTTCTTTTTTAAAGCAGAAGCACAATCAAAATCAGTTTTCAGAAGCTCGTACCCCCCAACTTCTAAAAAAACTGATTCTGAGAGCAAATTAGAGCACCAGAAGTGCTTTTGAAATTTCACCCAAGCACTCCAGCTTCTGCTTCTGCTCCCTGAAGGAACAGAATTAGTTTTGAGAATCAGATCCAAACACCCTCAAATTGTCTGTGCACAGACAAATTTGATGGGCATGTACAATACCATGTACACAAAGCCGGACTGGAAAATGTTTCTCGTCACAAATAAAGTTAGGTACAAAATTTATAAGTTTCATAATAGCATATGGAACTACTTATTATGGCAAAAGTACGGAAAATGTACATGTGATTTGGGTGGTCTTTAGATCGGAGCATGTGTTTTACTATTTGACAAAGTAGGAAAAAATGAAACGCATGTCCCTATCTGAAAATGAATCAAACCACAAGTACATTGTATGTACTTTTCTGTATTGCATATTACGATCTAGGGAGTTAATCGAGCAGCTTGGTTTAGTTCGAGTCGAGCAGTTTGGTTTAGTTTGAGTCGAGCTTGATGAAGCAAAACTGAGATCAGGTCAAGTTTCAGCCAAGTTGAAAATTTAATTTTATGACTTGATTTGTGTTGTGTTCGAGTTGGATTGGAGTAGTATTTGAGTTTTACTCCTTTCGGTCTTAAATAAACTTCACAATTTCTTTTTTGAGTAGGTCCAAAATAAACTTCACACTTCTATTTTTGGCAACCTTTTACTATAAAGTTACCCTCTATGCCCTTATTTTATTACCTACTTTACACTCATTTTCTCTCTCTCACTACATTTTATCTATTTTTTGTAGGGGTGTGGTGGGAAAGTCAAAATACAAAATATTCCGCTTTCTTAAAAACTGTAAAGTCAAACCATGAAAATTATTTAGGACAAAAATTCTAAAGTGATATATTTTTAGACAAAGAGTTTGGTTTTTTATTTAGGACAAAAATTCTAAAGTGATATATTTTTAGACAAAGAGTTTGGTTTTTATACGTTTAACCATACGTGCAATACCATTTTTTTACTTAGATTTTATACGTTTAACCATAATTGAGTTAAGTTCAATTAATTTTACTTAGATTTGTTTGAGTGTTGCCAAAGAATGCCTATAATTCACATACCATTTTTGAGCATTGTCTAAAACGTCCAAGTAATATGTAAATCTATAGTTTTAGTCAAAAAATGAGTAATTTTTACGCATGGATCCATATTTTGTATATATGACGTAAGTCATAGGTATAAATATAAAATAATCAATTTTAACTCATAATCGAGTAACTTGCAAGCCTTTTGACTTGAGTTCGTACATAGTTTGAGTTTGACTTAGTTTGATTCAAGTTGAGTTCGAATATGAGTTGAATTTAAATCGAGTCGAGCTAGGTTCGAGTAAGAATCAAGTAGCTTGTGAGTCGGCTTGCTTGATTAGCATCCTTATGATTACCTCCATCATGATAGATCAAAACTTACCATCATTAACTAGAGGTTATAACTTTTTGCATGAATTGGTAATTAAGAATTATTAAGGGAAAGTATACTTGCATTTATTTTGTAATATTCTCTTGGCTTATTGGGTCCATATTATACTTCTTGTAAACCCTAATAAGCCAAAACTCTTTGTATTTAAACACCTCTCTAATCATAGAATGAAGTATGGCTTGAAACTAAATACACTTAGCATTATTAACATGGTATCAGACTACCAGGGGTAATCCGCTACCCTAGCAGCCGCGGCCACAACAATGTCAGACGACGAGGCTTCCGACCAAACTTCCGGTCACCCGCTCGTCATGGCTTCCGGCTCAACCTCTATCTCTATCAATCTCCCAAAACTTAATATTCTTTTGGATCGTTCGAATTACATGTTATGGCGTCAAACTGTCCGCTCGGCCCTAGAAGCTTTCGAGCTCGACGATTTTCTCTCTTCCGCCGCCATGCCGCAGTCGTTGGTCAAATCTGCCGATTCCACGAGTTCAACACCCGTTGCAAATCCAGAATATCTCGTGTGGCGGAAGAAGGACAGGTTAATTCTTCTCTGGATCCGCTCTACATTAACCACACCATTGCTTGTTCATGTTGCACGTGCTACATCCACCCATGAAACGTGGAATATCTTATCCCGCATGTTTTATTCTCAAAATCGTGCTCAACTCATGCATCTCAAAACTCAACTCCAACAATTTCTAAAAGGTGATTTGTCGATTTTGGATTATGTTGAAAAGAAACGCTCCTTTTCCGATGCATTTGCCGAATGCAATTATGTTGTTCCCGATGATGAGTTTGTTGAAAGCATTCTTCATGGCCTTGATGCATCATATTCTGCCTTTCGTTCTGCTTTTGATCTGCATCCTGGACTTATTACTTCACATGATCTCCTTGGTATGTTGCTGCGTGAGGAGGCCCGTCTAAATTTGGAAAGAACGAGTCCGTTGAGTGCCACTGCACTGGCAGCGACCCGATCGGGTGCTGGAGGAGCCCAGTCGGGTTTCACAGACAGCAGGTCTGTATCGGGTGATCTTGTCTCCAGTTCGCGGCCTACTTGTCAAATCTGTCAAAAACCGAGTCATGAAGCGGTGAACTGCTGGCATCGGGCGAATTTTGACACCTATCTTGAAACCAAACCCCGGCAACCCTCTCGCCGTGGACAGCAGCAGCCTCGCCGTGGACAGCCGCATCAACCGCGTCGTGGACAGCAGCCTACCCCAACGGGCTCCGCCTATTGATACGTTTGTAATTTTCGTGTGTTTATTTACGTTTTTAGTTAGTTTTGGTTGTTTAATATTTCGGAAATTACACACTTTCGGTGTAATAGTTTAGTTTGTTAAAATCCTGTAAATTGTTTAGATTAGGTTTATTATGAGTTTAAACAGGTCCAAGATCAATCAAATGATCAATGGTGAAGGAAGGTGCAAGAGTACAAGACAAAAAGAAGGAAAGTTCCTGATTTTGACCTATACTCGATCGAGTATACCTTATACTCAATCGAGTACCAATACTGATTTTCAAAGATCCGATCCGGGAACAAATGAACATGCA